TTGTAATATGGGATAAAATGCACATTAAATAAAAAACAAAGTAGCACATTGAAAGAAAAACATTCTCTAAGGTTTTAATTTTATTATTTTAATGACATGAGTCTTTGAACTGAACTGAATACATTTACAATCAGAAAAAGTGATTTATTATTTACATCTCTTAAACAAACCTCAGAAAAGGATTCAGTTAACTTGATATTCTAGCTTGAAACAACTCAACACCATTCAGTCACACTGACAACTGTTACACTTTCCAATTACTTGTCAAGTTTAATGAATTATAGTTTTATTTGATTATAAAAGCTAAAAGCTGCAGCTGAAGAAACCGCTGCATCTCTTAAAGGTTCAGTGTGTAGAATTTAGAGAAGTTTCATGTTACAGCTGGATACTCCTCATCTCACCCTCTCCTTCCCGACATGAAAGAGAACCTGTGGTGAACTTCAGTTGTCATGAAAACTCAAAAGGTTTTAGTTTGTCCAGTTTGGATGACAGTAAAAAACATGGCAGCCTCCACAGAGAGGACCCCCCTCCATGTAAATATAAAGTATTTAAATATAAAGGTTCATTCTATGTTGTAGAAAACAACAATTCATCCAATTTAAATGAAACACACCCGTGAAAACATCACTAGGATTATTTTATATTCAATTTCTGCCAAAAATCCCTTTCACCTAAATCTTACACACTGAACCTTTAATACAAAGAGAATGTATGAGGCTGCTCACATTAACCTTATGAAATTTAAAGTGTTGGTATAGAAACTGGACTTGATGTCAAATGTCATGACTTTTCAAATACACCCCAGTAGTCCTTCATCCCACCATGCCTGAAGTCAGCCACAATTGTCCTGACTTGTGRCTTAATCATGTGTCATTTCAGCTGGAATAACACTATGGGACTTTCAATCCTTGACCTTTCAGTGCAATAAACACTTTCGGGGCATTTCCGGTGCAATAAAACACTTTGTATATTACCCAGATTATCCAGATATATCGGTACATTATCGGCATATAATATATAGTATTTATTCTGTACAGTTTGCACTTCTCCAAATATCCATATTATCTGCATGTATCGGTACATTATCGGTACAATTATTCTTTTTTGTATAGTATATCCACTTCGTTAAATGCCTTTGGTCCTGGAATCCCCTTATTTTTATTTCAATTTGTGTAGTGGTTTGTGTCTTGTTAATTGTATGTTTGGCATCGAGGAGGAGGACTGTGCTACAATTTCGTTGTGCTAGTGTACGAAGTACGACCGTGCAATGACAATAAAGTCTTTTGAATTGAACTGAATTTGAATGTCAGTAACTGGTGAAATTTGCCATATCAAATCNTATCATTGTTATTATTGTTGTTATTATTATTATTGTTGTTGTTATTATTGTTATTATCATTGTTATTATTATTGTTGTTGTTATTATTATTATTGTTGTTGTTATTATTATAAGCCATGTTGAGGATGCAGGCAAAGGGGGCGGGGCTGTGCGCACAGTGGGGGGTAGGTGCGGTAGTGCTGCGGCTGGTGCGCGCAGAGGAAACACTCACAGCGCTGGACGGACTCGCACCAAATACACGCGATACACACAAAATGCTGCGCCCACGAGTCCTGTCAGGCTGCTGCATGTGAACAAGAAGAGGAGGAAGAGGAAGAGGAAGAGGGTCCCTTTTGTGCCGCACATCTCAAACCCCCGCTCCGTCCAGCAGCTCTCCTCGGTGCTCCTCGGTGGTGCATGAATCCCCTCGTTTGGCTCGCAGCTCCAGGACAAAAACAAGGCGGCGTTGTCGATTGTGCGTGTGTGTGCGCGTGTGTGTGCGCTGGACACGGTTTGTGAGTGCACCTTAAACCGCTTCTCCTCCTCCTCCTCGTTGTCGGCAACTCCTTCAGGATGGCGTTGACGATCTGCACGAGGTTTACCGATGAATATCAGCTGTTCGAGGAGCTGGGGAAGTAAGGAAGCATGTTTGTTGTTTTTCTTACAATATCATCATCTGGTATCATCTCCACCATCATCATCATCATCATCATCATCACACCACCATCATCATCATCCTGTGTGAAATGTCAGCCTGTTATGTAACAGGCCGCCTTGGCTTAAGGACACGGATTCCGGGCTGTGTGTGTGTCTGTGGGGGTTTGTGTGCGCACAGTGGACAGTGTGGCCGTACAGGCTTGGATGCGGGGGGTTTTAAATATCATATCTCATGCAGTCATGTGCAGTGACATCCTGTTTGCTCTAATGCCACATACAAAGCCCTGCTCACGTTTGTGTGACTACGAAGGAAGATGTCGAGTCGAGCGTGTCGTCATTCGCCTGCATCCTGTCCCGTGCAGCCGCCGATGCATTTCTGGCATTTGGCTGCCACGGGAGAGCGAGGGGCTTCAGGGGGTGAAATGCATCGGTGTGTGTTTGAGTGAGTGTGTGTGTGTATGTGCAATGGTGAGGTTTGGTGGACCCACCTCCTCTCTCTCTCTGTCTCTATCTATCTCTTTCTACCGTCCCCACCACCGCTTCCCCAAAATCCTCCTCCTCCCCCCTGAGTGACAGAAATACACACGCTGTAATGCGACAGCATGTAGGCATCAGTCGGCGATGACACATTCCCCAGCCAACCATCCAGTTGCGGTCAATTATCAGACACAGGCAGGGAATTCCTCACCCCTGAGAGAGAGAGAGAGAGGGAGAGAAAGGTCCCTGAGTGTGTGTTCATGATTTTGATAGTGTTCAAGGTTTATTTTAGGGCTAAGCAATACAGCCAGACATATAAAGATAAAAATGTTCAGTCGATATCTGTAACGATCATGATAAATTCAACACATTATTATTTCTTTGCTCCTGAGCAAAGGTTGTGGTTTGAAACTCTTCTTTATGAGCTGAGAATGAACACACACTTCAAAACATTTTACAAATCTCCATCCGCTGTGTGTTGTGCCTCCTCACTGTGTCTACACAATGCATAAGAATGATATATTACATATATTGAGCCTTGGTATATTGCTATTTATGAAAATGATACTACAATAATGATACTGACTGCCCCACTCTACAGCTGTCCTGCAATAAATCCTCCCTTCAAGAAGCTTATGTTCTGTAGTTTGCGTGGAAACGGTCTAACAGAGGTGTTGGTTCAGCTTTGGGCTCGTTTTAGACGCTGCAGTTCGTGGTGCTCTTGCCTTGTGTTGTAAAATTGTGTTAACTAGGGCAGTTGTTTATATTATTTTGTCCATCTCATGTCTAGTAATCAAGTTAGACTAAATTACAGACTGTTACACAATGGATAAATATATCAATAAATACTGAACCTTTATTATATTGCTTTTAATTTATATTCATGTAATTACTGATATTTATTTACGTATGTATACACTATATTTGTGTGGTCATGCACGGCCTGAGCTGCAGTCTACCCAACAACCCGTGGTCATTTCACTCAGTCCAGATGTCTGCAGCTAGCTGGAGGAATTGATCTCCCATCAACCCCCTCTGATGGAGGCACTGTGTTTGAGGGAGAGGAAATCTCCTCCACCACCTCAGCCCCTGATTTTATGATGCTATCCTGTGTTCATCTTACACCATCTGTCATTAATAATGCAGCCATAATGCTTTTATACTCCCTGTCTCACTCACCTGGTCCCCTCACTGTGTGCAGAGCCAGTTCCTCCACGCTGACACTCAGAAGATGAACTGGCTCTGATGAAAGGAAGATGTCATGTTTCTGACCAAACATCTTGATATTGTTCATGTTTCAATCACCTACAGATGATTATTTCAAGATATTAACATGCTGGAAACGGTTGGAAATGTCAATAAGGGATATTATATAAAGATATTTTGATAAATTCAGATTCAGTCCCGGCATCAATTCTTTAAATTTCTGAGTATCAAATGCTTTGTGTATATATATATATATATATATTTCCTACCAGTCCAGACACCAGCTTTCTCTATATTTTTGTTCATTATATAAACATATTATACTCTTGAATGTAATATTATTAATTTAATTTAATTTAATAATTTAATATCTTCTGTACATACAAATATTTGTATGTATTCATCAGACTGATATAAATTTATTCATTGAAGTGTCAAAATGTCCGATACCAATATTTCGGTCAATATATATTTTCCCCTAATGAAAAAGAAATGTAATTGATGCTTAATAATTTACAGTTTAATTATAAACATTATCATAGATAACCTTAAATAATCTCAACATAAATGTAGATCTTTTCAACTTGGTAATTCTGTTAAAAAAAGGTTTTCATAACAGCACATATAAACGCAGATACAGATGTGTTTGTGGATGGCTCATGCTAACTGATAAACTGTTAGCCTCTAAATCTTGGAATTGCATCAAACCACTGCAGATGGTTTGTCTGATACCACTGCACCTTGTTCCAGCATGTCTTTACAACAAAACACAAAATGATTGTGAAATAACTGCACAGTTAAATTACCAGACACAGTTGACGTATGTATTTGTTGCCCAACTCTGCAGGATAGTGAAATTCTTATGTAACATGTTATGCTATGATCATTTCCTTCACCAAATCCCCTATATATTAGAGGTAAGCTTTAGTGGCAAGCTGCTCGCTCCAAAGGATGTTAGATAACATGGTCATGGTACACATTGCTATACACTGAGCAGTAGCTGGCGGTTACATTGGCACAAGGCTGGAGATATTTCTTATTTTGTGACCAAAACAACAAAACAGTTTCTTCATCCTCACAGTCAAGTCAATGAGAGAACTGGGTTCATTTGAGGTAATGAGAACTCTCAGGTTTGTCTGTCACGTGCCTCTGTTCAAGTGCCTCTGAGTGTTTGTGATATCTCTGATGTAGTCGGGAGCCAGGAAGGAATTTGCTGCGGCGAGAGGGGAAGAGATTGTACTTGAGCGAAAAAGACATGTACAGACAGAGGCTGAATAGTAAATCGGCTCTACATGGCTGCAGAGGTGAGCGGAGCTGAAGAAGCAGAGCTGCTCCACGACTGCATTTAGAGATGAGAGATGCAGCACTCTGCTCTTCTCCTCCCTTCAAATATAGCTGACCTAGTTTTGTAATCTTCATACATGTGCCTGGAACACCAGAACAACACATGGCTGAGGCAGCAGTGGGCTGGTGTATGGGTGCGTTTTGTCGGTGTTAGTTGTAGCGATGAGAACAATGTGTACCGTTGGTGTTGTGTGTGAGTGGGTCCATGTGAGTTGTTGCATTTTCACTGTGTTGACGTGTTTATGTGTATTTATGTAAAAATGTGACTGTGAAACCAAATTTGAGCTCATCTACATTTGCAATTAGTCATCTTTGACATACGAGGACTGAAAACCCTCATTCATGATGCTGGAAGTTGCTATGGAAAGATATTCTGCAGAGAATGTCAAATTTATGGTAATTTGACACATGCTCCCATTATTGCCAAACTAAAAACAATCTAAAGTGTCCAATTCATTTTTCGTAGGCTGATTCTGGACAAGCTTTTTAAAATACCTTGCCTTTCTGAGCCCAGGTTTTGAAACACCTGTCTGATTGTACATTAGATTCACGACTTATGTTGTTGCTTCGACCTCTTGAAAACATTAATACACATCTCTGTGTGTGTGTGTGTATCGATTTCAGGGGTGCGTTCTCTGTGGTCAGGAGGTGCGTGAAGATCTCCTCTGGACAGGAGTATGCTGCCAAAATCATCAACACCAAGAAGCTTTCTGCCAGAGGTATGAAATACACACATATGTACAAAAACAAGACATGTAAAAACTTGACAGGCATTCACGCAAACATACAACACACACAGAGGCACACAGCCCGAACACACAGAAGGACACACAGGAGAAAAACATGCCTCGAGTGTCACAGAGCACTGCGCGAATGAGCTGTGAACATTACTGCCCCTGAAACCGGCTCTGAAACTATGTATGTATGTGTGTGTGTGTGTGTGTGTGTGTGTGTGTGTGTGTGTGTGTATGTGTGTGTGTGTGTGTGTGTGTGAGTTAGACAGGTGCACGGGGCAGACACTCATCTGGATTGTGCCTGATTAACTTTTCTGTGTTCGCAGTAGAAAAGGTGAAAAGTGTGTCAAGTGAAGGCTTTAGCTGTTTGCCTGCTTGCACTTTTTTGTGCTGTGTAGTACATGTTCCCTTCTTTGTGTAATTCATATCTGTCCTCTGGTTTCTGTGTAAATGTTTGTCACATGCAACCTTGTGCGTGCGCGCCCCTGTGTGCGTGTGCACGTGCTCCGTATTGATTCAGGGCTCTGGCTGGTCTTGTCGTCCCAGGGGCAGAACTCTTGCGAAGCCGACCCAATTCTTTCACATCCGTCACTGTAATTGTAGCCGCTGGCCTGGTTGCTTCAGGCTCGGGACCCCCCCCCCCACAAGCACACACACACACGTGGGTCATGTGCATCTGCAAGCACACATATGACCTAGGAACTGCCAAAAGCATATTTGTGATTACTAACCAATGGTGCATTGAGCCTTCACTTTGCCACCTTCTCTTCAGCCAATGACGTGTTTTGTCAGCGCCTGCTTGCCTGTCACAACCAATGACTGCTGTCATACCACACAAGGAGTCAGGCTGGTGTAGATGGGAGCTGTGTTTACCAACTGAAATTGTATTTGTCAGAATTTATTGGAATTACCTTCTGCTTTTTATCACATGTTGCTCCACTGCCTATGGTTTTATTATGATGGTGCAAATTTCTGAATTATTATAGAACTGCAGTTTCTGTGTATTACCATAGAACCTCCTTCCTGTTTTCTGTATTTTACCTTTTATTACTCTCCAGAAACTCCCTCCCTACCATTCTCTGTTCTTGTGCACTTACTCTTCTTCCTTATTTTGCATTTTATTTTTCTCCATCTTTCATATTTATTCTCTTTTTAGCAGATCCTTGCCCTCCATCCTTCATTGCTCTTTCTTATCGCTCCCTTTTCTCTCATGCTCCACGTCTTGTCTTTTCACTTTCTTTCGTCCCCACCATTCCTTTGACCGCTCCCTCCTTCCGTCACTCTTCCCACCCATGATGACCCTCGAGCTTGCTGAGTGCAGTGTTGGAAATAGATACCTCGCCAGCTAGATCAGTGTCTCACCATTTGAATGCTGGGATAGATTTTCCAAAAATACTGCAAAGGGTTATCTCACCTCATATGCACGTGGGTCTGCACACATGTATTCGCACAAATGCGAGTACACATTTGTGACTTCAGAGGACGTTATATACATTATACATTTTACCTTAGTAAATTCCTGGAACCTAACTCCAATCCTTACCCTAAAACCTTAAAACACACACACACACACACACACACACACACACACACACACTGCTCTCTCTCTCTCCCGCTCTATTGCCTGTGTGTTCGTGTGTAGAGGTTTACACACCGGGCGTGCTGTCGTGTCAGATATGGTCTTACCCTCTTTCTACGATAAGCCCTAGAATTGCAACTCTGATTCCCTTCTCTCTGGCAGGATCATGACCCCTCCCCACCCCCTGCCCTGTCCCACACTGTGCATGTATACTTGCCTGTGCAAGTGCATGTGTGTCAGGGTATATATAATTGAAAGGGGTTTAGAGTAGGATTGGTGGCTGCAATGCTGGTGGATCAAGCAAGGCACTCTGTGTGTAAGTGTGTGTGTGTGTGTGTGTGTGTGTGTGTGTGTGTGTGTGTGTGTGTGTGTTTGTGTGTGTGTGTGTCTGCATGCACACATGTTCCTTTAGCCTATAGGACCAGTGATACAGTCTTGCAATCTGCAATCCTGATTATGCAGCATTTCATTAAGAGCAGCAGATGAGTCAGTGAATGAGAGGAAGCAGTGGAGAAAGGGGAAGAAAAGGAAAGAAGCAGAGGGAGAGAGAGATAATCAGAGACAGAAAGAGAGAACGGGAAGTCAACACTGTGTGTGTGTGTGTGTGTGTGTGTGTGTGTGTGTGTGTGTGTGTGTGTGTGCGCACACTGTATCCCTCAGAGCAGTTGAATATTTGTCCTCTCCTTTCATGCATGCTTCAGTGTCCTGTCACTATAACTCTGTCTGCTATCTTTTGTCACTTTGTATTCTCATGTGATGTGTGGGTGTGTGTGTTTGTTTGTGTGTATGTGCTTGTGTGTCTGTCTTCCCTCATCTGTGTGTGTGTGCGTGCATTGTGCACATGTGTGTCCTTGTGTGTGTGTAGTTGTGTGTCAACCTTCCCTCATTTGTTTGTGTGTGTATTTGTGCATGAGTGTTGTTGTTTATGTGTGCGTGTGTGTGTATGTGTGTGTGTATATTTGCTTGTGTGTCTGCCCTCTCTCATCTGTTTGTGTGTGTATTTGTGCACATGGGTGTCCTTTTGTGTGTGTGTGTGTGTGTGGTAGTGTTTACCAGCTAGTTGCCTGCTGATGTGACCCTCTGAGCTTGTCTTCACAGTTGGGTAGATTTGCCGTGTTGAAACCATTATAACAAAGATGATTTTGAAAAAAAAAAAGATCGGCTCATCTGGCTGTGTGGGGGTTGCATTGCATTGTAGGAGTGTCATAGTGTGAAGAAATATGGCTGCATTTACATGTAGGGAAGAGTAAAAATGTTATTATCAGGGTGTGCTGGTAATAAAATCCCAGTTGTGCAGAGACAGCCTTAATATTGTTCCTGGCCTGATATCATTCCAGTTCACTGAGTTGTTACTGACCCTCCTCTGGAGTGGACAGTTTCATGGTAATTGGGGTGTGCCATTGTTATTTTTATAATGTGGAGGTGTCATGGTAACAGAGATGATAGCTGATGCGGAGATGTAAGCCAGTCCGCCATTGCTATACAATAAACACACTCATGCTACATCCACATATGTACATTTTGTTTTTGTATATATATATCGCTCCCCTTCTGTGGCTCATCCTCTCATTAAGAGAATAATTATTCTGTCCTTCGTTTTATTGTTTTCGTTCCTGTGTTCCTGTGTGTGTATCACCGTGGCTCTTTTCTGCCTCACTTTGAAGTGAGAGGAGGGAGGGAGGGAGAGAAAAAGATAGGGAGAGAGACAGAGAAATGGGAGGAAAGGAGAGGAGGGGGGATCAGCGGGAAGAAGGGGGGGAATCACATGACTCACTGGGTGCTTGAAGGCTAAAAATAAATGTTGGTCATTCTCTCACTGTGGGTGTCTCTATCTGTCTCCCAATCTCACACACACACACACACACACACACACACACACACACACACACACACACACACACACACACACACACACACACACACACACACACACAGCATTGATAATAATTTTGAAAGAAGCTCGGTCCTTGGTTTCAGTCGATGCTCCTCTGTCTGGTCACCCAGTAAATAATGCATGAGACAGAGCCTGAAACCTTAGCAAGGGTGTTTATGTGCTTATATTATATGTTTGTGTATGTGTGTGAAATGTAGATATGTTAGTACAGTGCAGTACTTTTTGTTATGTTCAGCTCTTAAAACAATGTTAATGATGTAAACTGTAATCAAAATTACAGCTTGTGCATAAACTGTAAACTGATTGATTGTTGAGTCCGGAAAGAACCTCCAGTCTGACTAACAAGGGTAATGGACTCTATGGAAAGTGAGGGCATTCTTAATTACAGACTGGTGCATCTGCCTCTGTCCTCTCCCACCTCTTTCCCTCTCGCTTCTGTCCACTCTGTCTGTCTGTACGTCCTTACCAACATTTTCTGTTTGATTTAGTCTTTCCTTTTTAACCCCTATGTCCTCCCTCCTCTTCCCTCTCTCTTCTCCTCTGACTAAAACCAGTCGTAGTTTAATGAGTTTCATGCAATTAACACCATTACATTCCAGGAATGAGACGCTTACCGGTTGATGGTTTGTTTTAAGATTTCGATCTTTAATTACCATGATCACCATGGTGATTTGGTTGGTACTGTAACAGCATGAGCTAGGGCTTTTCCTAAACAAAAAAATATTTTTCTGTCCCAGCTCTGAGATATTTTGGGTAAAATTCTAAATATTATTATCTTTTATATGATCATAAATAGAATTTTGATTGATAATAATAAATAATATTTAAATATCAAAACTTGGTTACTTTTCGAACTCTTTCCGCACATTGTAATAATACTGCAATAATACTGATGTTGGTGATAATTTTGTTTACCATGATCGCGATGCAACATTTTCAGACTGTTTCATCTGTGACATTCTTTATCAAACTTCTTCAACTTGACAACACATGAACTGTGAAACACAGGTGATAAAACACATGTCGATACACAGAGGCCACAGAGAGGTCAGATACACAAATGTGTGTGTGGGTGTGTATTATTTTTCCAGCACTACCAAATCAATACAAGCTCTTAGAGTCAAAATCCACATTAGACACGATAGTAATGTGTCTTGCATTTCCGTCTCAATGAACTTTAAGCAGATGGAGATGGATAGACGCATCTAACACTGCTGACAAAAAACATTTTCCATTTCTAAAACCATCAAGTGGAGATATCAGGTTTGGTTTTAAGAACTAATTCACAAGTTCCTCATCTTATTTTCATTCGATGTTCTAAAATCTTGCAGAAAGGACTCAGAAGCAGAAGAGATTTTCCTGTTTGGACAAAAGTAGCTGGAATCCAGTGTAGCTGCAACACCCTGCTCTTATTACATCAACGCTTTCTCCACCCTCATGTGACTGTTTTTCTTGCGCCATCAAGGACATTTGGCGTTTTTTTGTCCAACAACAACGTTTATCACCGGTTTA